GCCGCCCGCCAGGTGGGCGCCCCAGGGAGGCAAGGCGAGCCAGGGCCAGCCTCCTGAGGTCTCTAACTAACTTACCCCCCGCTGGGATGAGCAACCAATTTGAGGAAGGGATGTGGCTGGGTCCTTAAAGACGTCGAGGGACCTCGTTGCTGGTGTGAAGCGTTCACAAGAACTTCTGTCCAGCGGAGGTTTTCGTTATTAGGAAGAATGGAAGACCACGTCTCTAGCTGGGATTGCCGGCCGCAGCCTGGCCTTTGGAAGTACAGTGAGATGTCCAATCCGTGGGAAAAGGGAAACTCCCCCCAACTGGAATCTCTGTGGAAGGGGCTGGTTAACCGCTCTTTAAACCACCTCACTGCCATCCAGTCAATTCCGATTGCTAGTGCCCCTCTAGCACAGGGTAGAACGGCCCCTGTCCCCGTGGCTCTTCACAGGCGTTGAAAGCCTGGTCTTTCTCCAGTGGCGCAGCTGCTGGTTTCCAAACGTCTGCCTTGCCGCTCTTAGCCCAATGCGCAACCCACTACACCACCAGGGCCGCGTTAAGCTCTGGAGGCTGGTTCATGGAAGGGTGGGCAGTTTGCACCCACATAACCATCCAGGAGGAGAAAGATCAGGTGATCTGCTCCTTTAAAGAGCAACTAAAACAAAACAAAACAAAACAGATTAAACAACAACAAAAACCAAAACCTATTACCATGCAGGCGATTTCAACTCATAGGAAGCAAGCACTACAGGCCAGAGTAGAACTGCTCTGTAGGGTGTTCAAGGCTGTCATCTCTAGGGAAGCAGAGCATCACATCTTTCTCCCATGGAGAGGCAGATAAACTGCCACCCTATCAGTTAACAGACCAGTGGTTTACCACTTAGACACTAGGACTCCTCCCCTAAAGATGACAACTTATAAAACCCTCTGGCGGCAGGTCTATTTTGTCATATGGGGTTGCTATGGGTCAAAAACCCACTCTACTGTACCAGATGACCATCAGCTGCGTGGTTAGAAAGTACAAGTGTAACTGAGCAAATCTGCCCTGAAGGTGGGGTGGGGAGGGAGAGCTGGACCTGTACCTCGATTCTCTACCTCATGTTCCAGTGATGCTCTCAGGCAGGGGATTTGCCACACCCTCCTTAACCTGGAGGAACATCCGTTCCCCAACTTGTACTTCAGTTACTTGGTTTGGGCCTGGAGAGAATAACTTGAACTTAGAATGTAAACGGTTTCTCCAAATTGTGGTCTCTTTGAATACAATTTCTGTTTCCAGACATTTTAGCAATTCCAATTTTGAGAACTTTGGCTTAAAAATGTTTCCTATTGTCTCATTTAAATCATCTACAAAAGAGGAACCTTGGTCTAGCAGCTCCCTTAGCCAACCATTTGATTCAAAGATTTATTAGTGGTCATTTCTCCCCATCATTATTCTCAACCAATAGGCTTACTAGGGCGGAGCTTAGGTCTTACCTAATTCCTATTCCTTGCAACTATTTGTACCACCTTGGGTGCTCAAACACTGTCTGAAAGGTTGGTGATTCAAACCCACACAGAGACACCTCAAAAGACTAGCTTAGTGTTCTGCTTCCCCAAGTCACAGTCTTCAAGACTGTATGGGTCCGCCGTGAGCCAGGATCAACTCACTAGCAACCAAGAGCAGCAACACCCAAACTCAAAACCAAACTCACTGCTACAAACTGATGTCAATTCAGTGCCCCTCAAGACGGAGCAAACTGCCCTTTGACTTTCTAAGACTATAAATCTTTACATGGCTAGAAAGCCTCATCTTTCTCCCGCAGAGCCACTGGTAGGTTCAAACTGCTGACTTTGAACTACCAAAGCTCACCTGAGAAATAGTAGGTCATATGTTTGTTGAATTGAATCCCCTAACCAGTGGTTCTTTGTATTTTTACCTGTCCTGGAGTGTAAACATTTCTTCTTTCTGAGTCTCAGACCTTAGAGATTCCTGGGAAGGGGAAAAAGAGGGAATTGGGTACATATATATACATCACTCACTTATTCCACAGGACTTCCACTCTGTCTCTTTGGGAACAATAACACCTATATTTTTTCACTGTCCACCGTCTTCCATTTCACCTTCAACTCAGTGATGAACCCTACAGGCAGTTTTGTACATTGAAAGATGGTAAAAAAAATAAACCTCAAAACACTGCAGGCAATTAAATCTACTGATTTTTTTACCAAGCCATAGAGATTCAAAAACTGCAGAGTACATTTTCATGTGGCAGTCACACCATTATATAGATACATATAGATTTAAATCTAAGAATTAGGCAAACTGCCTGCTGTCAAGATAGTGCATAGAAAGGCAAAGACTCCATTTTTATAGACCAAATACTTCATGCACCTCTATGCCTTACTTGGAAAGTGATAGATTTTCTTCCCTTTGCGGGAATTAGTACTGAAATGGATATTAATCAACAGCCAGGAGGGCCAGAGCAGAGGACTAGCCTATGATGGATGGTCACACACTTCTCCCTTCGGTGAAGTCTCTGTCCTTCCAGAATGACAGCTTCTTTTTGGTTCATGTATTTACCTTGTCTGCAAGACTCAGATGATGAGCTTCTTCGGAAAGGCCTTCCTTCATGTTGGAGGCCCAGAGAAGTTTAGTGATTCCTCCAAACACACACAGATAGCGGGTGGTAGAGCAGTGCTTACAACCTTGGACCACTTCCAAACCCAGTGTAAGCTCGACTGTATCACACTGTGAAACTCTTCTGTTGATCACCGTGCGTGCTTAATAAACACTAGACTTCTAACAGCGGCCTATTTGCTTTTGATTGCTGACTAATGCTCGCCAATTCATACTTATTTTCACTGAAAAACACTACCTTCTGATGACTCCGCTATTGTCTATGGGCATTGAGTTGGTGGGCACATTCTGGCACTGTTGGGCGTCAGAACCCATCACAACAAATCAATGTCAAAACAGACACTTCAGAAGGAACACATACCGTTTATTTAGTAGCCCCCAACTGAGTAGCTCAAAGTGATTAGAAAATGTCTCAGTCATCCTCAGGACACCCCTGTGGGATAATAATAATATTATTATAATGTTTAACTGTAGAATTGTGGCAAAGCCAACAGTTTCTCCAACCACCTGCAGAATTTCCCCATATTTCAGTCTTTCACTCTAGAGCAAATTAGAAACCTTCACATTTGCAAGCCACAGAGGGAAACCTTGGGGTTTGGGCTTTGGGGGACTTTTTAATGGGCTAGCTTGGGTTTGTCAGGGACCACAACAATACTAGAAATAGTTCCTCTGTTCCTTGCCAGATGGTAAGCTGTATTCAAGCATAGCCCAGATGTGTTTGAGAATGGGACATGGCAGGCATGAAGATCACCAATAATGTGCAAATATAAAGAAGTGGATGAAAAAAACCCAAAAAATAATAAAAAGAAGTGATGGAGAAAGAGCACTGACTACGTTCTAGCAAGACACTTATAGGTGCTATGGAGGAGTGATGTCT